GCCGCCCGGGTGGGCCGGGGTGAGGGAGGGGCTGTCCAGGCGGCTCCCAGCCGCTCAGCCTTCCGCTCCGCCGCCCCCGCCTCCGCCCCCGGGGGACCCCGCGCGGCCAGAGCGCGCGCCTTTATAGCCTCCCGCCGCTCTGCCGGGAGCCCTGGGACCAATCGCGCCCTTGCATGGGGGCCACCTACCTCCCCACACTCCCACCGCCTGACCCCAACTGCCCCCACCCCACCCCTTCCCGGACCTTTTGTTCTGGTAGTTTTCGCCCCCGGCCTTGGGCGTTCTGGACTCCCCCCACCCCACGCCCCACATCAACCTCCTTAATTAAGAGTCAAGGACTTGAGGTGAGGGGAACAGGAGGGAAATCTATCTCCAAAAACTCAAGACTCCACTGTTCTAGGGACCTAAAGAATCCTAACCCCGCGCAGGTGGAAAGGAGAGATTCATAGGCAACGCCAAGATATTGTGGAAATTTAGAAAGGAGGGGGGGCAGGCACAAGGATCAGATGACGGTGATAGGCTGCTCCGCACACAAAGGGAGCGAGCTTACGGAGCAAGCCCGCAGCGAATGGGGCACAGATTGTTCCGAGATCCAGTCGTTTTCCCAGTCAGATCTACGCGCTGGGAGGGGCCGCGCTGTGGGCGGGGGGATTTCTGATCAGTCTGATGCAATTCCAAGCGTGCTGCAAAGGAACTCCAAGGCGTCCGCATCACCATCGCCACCCACCCTTCCCAGATGGTGCTGTTTTAAATACGGATCTGCAGGGCTGAACGCAGAACTGGGAGATTTATTGCAAAAACCCAGGGAGGTGGGGGGAACGGGGAATGGAAGGGCAGAATTTAAAGGTGCAACGCTCACTTCTCCCCAGTCAGGCGGCAACCGGTCGGGATTTTTCCTCCCCCCCCCCCTTTTCTGCCTGTCTCTGGATTCTAATTCTCCAAGGAAGAGGTGTAAATATTGTGACATTTTGAGGCGGCTTGATGGATGAGAAAAAAAATCATCTGTCACTCTAAATTGCAGAGTTCCCTCTCCGGGCGAGATACCCTGCTAGCGAATACTCGCTGCTGCCTAATACAGTTGCTAGCGCTTCAAATGAATGCATCGTTAAGGGAATATTATCCTTTTAGTCTACTTGCCAATTATCTGACACTTGAACCGAGAAAATTGTAGATTTCGCGTCTCTGGGAGACGGGGTGGTGGTGGGGGGGGATGCTTAGCAGTTTTAAGTCCTGTAACCTCGAGATCTTTAACAACCTAAATAAACCTCAAAAGTGTCACGTCATTCTCTTTGAGACACACATATACCCCCTCTTTTTGTGAACTGAAAGGAGGATTTTGCTTAGGGCTTCAGTGGAAATGTCACTTTAAGAACGATGCACCTGATTTCACTGTTTATATGTATTTACATAGAACGCCCAGCAAGGAGGCAAGGCACTTCCGTTGTCTTGGTGGTGGCACAAGAGGTGGGAAGGAAGAATGGAGGAACGGAATATTCTTAACCTCAAAACATTAACAATAACCTAGCCTACTTTTACAGCCCCTGGTCTTGCATACTAATATTTCTGTGCGCGATTTTAGCTTAGTCTAGCTCCCCCAATGGAAGACATCAGTACTGATTCAGATGAAAATAAATGCGTCCTGCCCGTAGCTTTTTTTTCCAGTGTCATTGATAGTAAGACCTACAACACAGCAATTTTTGGAGGATGGAAGAGAATGTCTGTGAAAGGACTTTTCAGACTGGGAAGCAGACATTCCATGAATGGACAGTATCCTGATGAGGACATTCTCTTTCTACGCAGTATTCACTTGACTGAACCAGAGTACTGGGCAGCTAAAGCCTTATCTATATGAGAGGCAGCAATCTGGGATTTCTAAAGCAATATTTTGGCTTACAAAATATTTGTCAGTTACCTTTTGGAAATTTAAAAGAAAGCCGGGAAAAATTCTAAAGTCAACATACACGGCGCTTACTCATCCATTTGCCAAATTCTCTCTGTATCAAATCTCTAATCTAAATTCTTAATAAGAAGAAACTGGTGAATTCTGTTTCTTTCCTTTTCTTGATCTGTCCTCTATGGGAAGCTTTAGTAAGAAACAAGATCAGGCAGTAAGAGAGAAAAGGCTTGGATGTCCAGAAAACAGATTATCAGCTACCAACAGCAGCAGATAGAAATGGACCCAAATCCACATTTAGACATCACTTACAAAGGGTTTTATTAATTCTCTGATCTTGGGATCAGGCTCCAACTAGCTTAAATACCATTCTCTTGATCATATTGCTTACAATCTGTTAGTTAAAATAAGGTCTAAATGAACATATTTTTATTGAATATGCTTCTACTAAAGACCAGTAAAGCTAATCTTTGCTTTTAATTAGGACAAACTGATCTAACTGTTTAAATTCATTAGAATTTGAACTGATACCATCTGATTTTAAAACTATGCTCAACACTAAATTTGTTCTGTAAAGCACTGACTTGCCAGAATATGTCTATTTTTGTAGCCTTCTTTTCACTCTATGGATAATTTAATGAGTTGCTTATTTTAATTTTACAACTGCCACCTCAGAAGTAACTCAAATTATCTTTCTTTGGCTGCTAATCTATTACTGCTCTGTATGTGTATGTCGTGTATGAATGTGTATCTATGTGTACTTTCTAGTGGGGGATTTAACAACCAGCGAGCCTTTTTCCATTTCCATGTCATAATCCATGCAAGAGCATTAGTATTTGGTGAGGGTTTACCATTCCCTAGTGCCATGGAAAGGGGAATTTCTTTACGAAGAGAAAGATAAAATTCTTAAACAATAAAAACAGAAACATTTTTCCCACTTGGGGCCTAAGAGATCTGGTGGCACTCTGGTTGAGGCTGCTCACCACAAGTTTGGCAATTTAAACACCCCAGTTCTTCCAAGGCAGCAAAGAACCTGACTAGTTTGCTCCTATGAAGACTGACACCCTTGGGAAGCCTCAAGGACAGCTTGACTCTGCACTGCAAGGTCTCTATGAGTGGCAGTGGGGGTGGGGGTGGGGTGTCTAAAAGTGGCTTAGGCCTAAGAGTGGCCATATTTCAAAATATATTTTTTTTCTTCTTTTGCTTTGTAAGTTTAAAAAACTTCCTTTGTTTACACATTTGAAGCTGCTTCAAATGTATCACCTAAGACTATTATTAAAATGTAGATTTTTTATTTTCTGTGTCTGGGAAGGAAATACAAATTCTCAGCAGGAGCCCAGGCCTGAATGAAACAGGAAGAGCCAAAGCCGAGAAGCGCATTTTCCTATGACTCAGAATCATAAGACTGGCTGGGATCTCAAAGGTGGCTTAGCTCAGTCCCTATCTGATGCTTGATTCTGGGATGACTCTGGTTGCATACTGGGTAGAGAGTGTGCTGCTGACCCAAAGGAGGAACTCCTGTGCAGGTTTAAGTCCATCAGCTTCTCCAAGGCAGAAAAAGCAGCAGTTTCCTCCTGTGTGATTTACAGCCTCTGAAAACTTATGGAGGGGCTCAGCTATGAGTTGGTTCTGACTTGAAGATAATTTGTTTGAGGTTTGTTTTCTTCTAAACCACTGGAATTTCATCCCAGTCCTGGATCTCTTATCTTGGTAGATATTCTGATACTTCTGGAGACCATAAGCTTGACTACCTATTTCCCACTTGACCAAATAGGTATACTTTCTACAAAGATACCAACATTCATAACTTTATTCTATAAAGATACATTGACAAGCTAATGTGTGCCACAAAGCTATTATGTGCCAGAAAGCTATAACATGTTGTGGTCTGGAGATACAGCAACAAACAAGATTA